ACAGATCAGCAACATCAATCAAGGTATAAAGACAGAAATACCCCTACGCTAACAGAGGTAAATGCTATTTTTAGTACTATTAGACATTAATAGCTCATCCATTAGCACCCTCTACATAGAGAGTAAGTAAAAGAGAAAAACAACAGGGGTGGAGCTGCTGCTTATTTAATATGAGACAATAGAAAAAAAATAAAAATGAAATAAACTTCTTTGAATGGCCAAGGAAAACCCACTTTTATAGGTAAGTCTTACATTAAAATAAACTAATACTTTGAATGGTTTATATTAATAAAAATATCACCAATAAAAGGTCGGACATATGGCTGATATGAACTTTGGGGTTGAACATGTGGGTAATCCAGTGGAGAGTCCAGATCTCCTGCCCACACAAATTCTGCCCACGGCTACCCACATAACATTGCAGCCACACATGGAGAACATCTCATCCTCCTCTATAAAATTATGCAGGGGGAGATGTTCCCAATTCACGGGGATAGTGTGTTGTGGGTAGACATGGGAGAGTTCTCGTGGGCAGGAGATCCGGAGTCACCAGTGGATCCCCTAAGTGATGAACAGTCTAGGATGACCTTATCATCTCTTCACGGTTTCATGTGTGTGTGTGTGTTTTGTGTTGTGTATATATGTTCTCACAGTAATGTATCCAATGTGGTTAATCTTTTCAGGTTGAGCTGGGATCTCTTCAAGATACTGTGCCAACGGATAGAATTGTGGTCTTGCAAGGTGGTTGGGGAATATTCAGAAAGAGATCTTCTGGAGAAATATTACTTCGGTTGACATATAAAGCATATGTTGAGGATGAAGAGGATGATGCAGTTGAGGCTGAATCTGTGGATACTGATGCCTCTGATGATGAGTTGTCAGAGATTGATGAAGTAGATTCCAAAGATGAAGAGCGTCTGAAAGACTCCCCTGATGGAACAGATAAAGAATCTTTTATGAATGTATTAGCAGCTTTGCTTGTAAGTGAAGAATTCCAAGGGATAGTATCCTCTGAAACAGGAAATACTAAACCCTCTGAAGATGCCAAAAATCTGGAATCAAATTTATCAAGACCCCGTACTGCTAATTTTCTAACTACTAATTCAGAAAATGGTTCTGAAGGTCCCAGTAGTGGTATGAATCACAACTTGTTTTGGTTTTAAGATTATTTTTCTGAAGCTTTCCATCTTTGCTGAGTTGATTAGTTCTTTTGCTCATGCTATTTAACTATCATCGGCAGGATCTGCATTATTTTGGTTTGCCGTGATTACAAGTATAGCAGTGCTGATTGCTCTCAATATTGGTGGTTCAAACATCTTCAATCCTTGATATGCCATGTCCCTTATGCAATTTTGATGAAGCAAGTGGATTTCTTATTGGATCAAGTATGCCTGCATAATCTCTTTCCACTACTCAACTTCTGCTGTCTTTGACCTTGTCCTTTTCTCTGGATTTCTGCGTCTGTCCTTGTTCAAGTTATAATCCTTCATAAAACTGTTCATACTTGAGTGCACTCATACTAGATCCTACTTTGATATGGTGGCCTACATTACCTGGATATGGCTGCATATCGTATCGGATACAGAATTATACTAAAGATTGAAGTATTTGACACTATATGGCACCCTTCTATGGGTATCCGAGTATCATAGATTGTGATTGATTATAGATGATTCATAATATTGTATATTCATTTATTTTAGTTAGATAAATTATAATTTTATCCCCATAACAAAAGCATAAAAAATCTATATAGAGTTTATAGATTGGGACTTAGGATTGAGAGTTGCGCCATATTCATAACCATGTTTTGAAGTCAATGAACTTTACTGTCAAAGCCTCAAATTATTTCAATCATAGTCCTTTTAAGTCTGATTATCTTGCTTATGATGAGTAATATATCCTAGTCTTTGAATTCATTCAATTCCTTATTATCTATCAAAATATCCCTCTTTTGTAAATTGAACTGGATCCTTATCTACCACCACCACTTCTAAAAGTACTTGATGTAGGATGACAGGAAGGAGAAAGTCCTACTGGGGTTAGTTTGATGGGAAGATGAGAGAAAATAAAGGATATGAATTATAAGAGGAAGAGATTCAGATTTGAATAGAGAAGAAAAAGAAGAAAGATTGCACCTTTAGAAGAAAGAGATGAGAATATAAAACACTATAAACCTCAAACAAACTTTTCATTTAATTAAATCCATGCTTGAAATTCAGTTACAAGATTCTTATTTATATAGACTCTTGGGTCTTTTCTTTATAGATTCCAACTTCAACCAAGAAATTAACCAAAAACAATTTCTAATCACTTTGAAAACCAGGGTGACGCAATTGTAACCTATAGGAACATTCAAATATACTTGTAAAACATTTCTAGTTACACTTTCTATCCAAGATACCAAAGATTACTGAAAATAGTACTGGCAATATGGGAATCACCATAAATAGTATGCCCAAAAACTACCATAAATAGTAATTTATTGTAGGACAGCCAGATGAAGCCCAAAAATTACCATAAAAATAGTACTTTTCTTTCTCTCTCTCTCTCTCTCTTTCTTTTTTTTTGGGGGTGGTGGGGGTGGAGGGAAGAGGTTGGGTTGTATTATATAAGAGAGACATTCTCCACTATCTATTAAGTACCAATGCATAATGGTTCATATCAATTGATACACATTGATACTGATATGGGTGAATACCACCAAAAATCAGCATTCCTCCAATATGTCATGTGGAAATTCTGGAAAACTGGCATGCCTGATACTTTTAGATGGTTTAAACCTTGGTCTTTTAAAAACTTTGCTCCAAAGGGGGCAGAATAGAGTTTGCACCAAAGTTCTAAGTTAATTCACCAAGCTTTTCGAAGGTTTGATGTATTCTTCCTTTGTTCATTTGTAGTGGTTATCCTGAAATATAAATACAAGGCCATTAATATATTTAAAACAATTGAGGAACAACACTACATTCATTTTTTTTTGTGTTGGATCTTGGATGTGCATGTGACATTGATTTCTATTCCTCTTTATAAGATGGCTCTCATTTGTTGTATTTCTTTACACTAGAGTTTGATGGAAACAAGGGCGGACATTCAAAGGATGAACTTTCTTCTTTTGTGCAGGTAGAGCCATGATCTTCCATTATGAGCCTAAAGAGTAAAGGGTCTCTCAAGTGAAAATTATTCCTGTTTGAATCTAAATATATTTTACTTCATGTAAATTTGTGGTTAGCTGAGAAATGTTCTATTGGCGGCAGGATTTTTTGTTTCTATACCTCCTGGGCCATAAACCCAGATGCCCTTGTAAGCTCATTCACTGTTCATATTACAAAAATTTCAAAAAGAAAAAAAAAATTCTTGGATAAGAATGGTACAAAGGACTATATCCAAGAGAGAGTTATAAAGCATGTTTAATGCAATTAACCTTTACTTTCTTTAAATAGTTTCTTTTAAATGTTTTCCACTTTTGCTTCTTCATTTTGTTTTGGTAGGGCTTTTGCCTTTTCTATTTGATCCTTAGAACTTCTGTTCTAGAGAAAATGAATAATCCGTATATTGTTCATCTCTATAATCTTAGGGATGATAAATCTCTTGCAAATAGAGGAAAATCTTAAACGAGGGATAATATAAATATCAAGAGGAGACAATAATAGATGATAGATGATGATACAGGAGATGCTTCTAAATCAAGTTGAGTGATAAATAAATAAATAAATAAAAGGTTGAAAATATCACAATTACACATCTTACGATATATGTAATATCGATTTTCAAGGCTACTGATTCGAAGCATTCAGGTAGACAATAAAAGAGGTCATGTGATATCCACTAACAAATTGTCGAATCAAAATGATAAACAAACAAAAAAAAAAGTTTACATTGATGAAACTGTGATACTTTGAACTTTGAAAAATATATACTCAAGTTTGACTGTTTGCATTCTTATATATTGAGCACATGATGTTATGTACACTTTAAAAGAAATTTAAAATCCCAAAAGCACCCTTTCTTGGTCAAGCTGCAATCTCTCGTCTCCTCCTGTCACTGACCAGAGCTCTGATGAGACGTCATTCTCTCTCATCCTCTTCACCACCGGACCAGAGCTGTGGCAAGATAAAGATGCCAGAGAATGTAAGACTGGATTAATAATCCAATTCAAGGTTCAAAGTGTCGGCCGGTACGTATCATATCGGAGCCTTCTTGATATGCCCTTACATAGAGTGTTTTGGGTCAGCAAGTGGTTCAGGGGTAGACCGGTCATTTGAACCAGATTAAAAAAAAAACAAAGAAAAAAGAGTATTGATACAGGTCAATACGCCGGCTAGTATCGATACGTTGAACCTTGATCCAATTAGTAATCCAACAATGAGTAAGGCACAAAATCCGGTTAGTCCTTCCCTCTCTACATGTTCATTAATCTGCAAAGGAGAAAACTATCAATTAATTGCATTATCACACAGAATTAGGGGTGAGCAAGAAAGCCTGAAAAACCGAACCAAACTGAAAATTTGATCGAAGCTAAATCAAAAATCCGATTAACTGAACTGATTGGTATATATATATTATGTATTATATATATTATATATTATGTATATATATATATTATATTATATTATATTATATTATATTTTTATTTTTATTTTTCTAAATCGAAATAAACCCATCACCATTTGACTTTTTGAGTTTTTTTCCTTTCCCCTTCGATACTTAAAGGCTAATACCAAAACTGAAAACCCTTGTTTTCCTCTTGTTCGTCTTCCTCCCCAGTTCTTGCTTTCCTCCAACGTCGGTCATCATCTTCTGTCATTCAATGTCGACGTCGGTCGTTCTTCAACGGCTTCTCCCCCTCCCCTCTCTACTACGGCCATGATAAAAGGCCTAAAACTAAAAACTCTCTCTCTCTCTCTCTCTTGTCATCTCCTCCGCCGCTTTGCGCCAACTGCCAAGCGGCAACGCTAGTTGCCGGCATGCAGCCACCAAAGCCAGGCACCAGCTACTCCCTCTCCGGCAACACCTATTTTCTCTATTACCTCTCACTTTAGGTTCAGGTGATAACAACCAGTCCGACACTGGCAAATCGGACACCACTTCAGTGTTCATTGTCCAAGTTCAACTTCAGGCCTACTGCTAGTTTAAGTTATTTATTTATTTATTTTTTTATAGTGTTTTTTGACAGACCTTTTATATTGATTAGTTCATCTAATATAGTTCAAATTCAATGCTGGAATTCATGTAGAAAAAGTGGTTGAGATGATTTGGATTACAAGTGAACCCTTGAATGATTTTTCAGAAATAAAACTTTAACATTTCAAAACTTAAGTATGCCCCAATGCCTATTTATTTATTCATGTTTTATGAGATGATTACAAAATGAGAACATTGATTTTTATGCCAAATCTAATGAGAGTTGTACAATAATCAGGGATGACTGTCCTTTGTCCTTTGTACATATAACTTATAATCTTCACTTTTTAGATTAGAAGAATTGACAAATTACATAAACTATAAGTCTATAACCTATTGGAACATTCAATAAAATAAAAGTGAAAAAAAGTGTATAAATTTAAATTAATGTATTTTAATATGTAAATTGATTCTGATGGAGGGAAGGTATTTTTTCCTTTTTTTTAAAAAAAAAATTGAGTGGAAGGTTACTGCACAAAAAAAAAAAAAAAAAACCAAAAACCCGAACTGTGGTCAACTGGTCCACCGGTTAACCGGTTGCTCGGTTTGGTTCAAAAAAACCTCGTGGTTCGGTTAATGAAATAAAATTAAAGTTAGAAACCCAGAAAACAAGCCTAGGGTGGGGTGGTGCGAGATACAATCCCGATCTCCTGCCCACAAGAATCTAAATTCACATGGACGCCCAACACATCCCAACCCCAACCGTTTATTGGGAACATCTCCCAATGACTAATATGAGTTTAAACCGCCGTTGACCCGGATGGCTGAACCGTTTGGCCCAGGAACTGTCAAGGCAACCAGTTTTGTTTTATCCCAAACTCGACCCCTAGGCAAAAATCGTTGAATCGGTCAACGATCCATTGACCCAGGCAATCAAACTGTTGATCTATTCAACAGTTTTTAGCCGTTTTTATTTTAATTTTTTTATCAGAATGAGCCATCCATTCAAACCGGATGGTTGAACCGTCCATCAAGAAACCAGAGGCTAGAAGGGTTCCGATTCCTGATCGTTTTTTAAAACATTGATTCTCAATGCACTGGATGTTGGACGTGCAACGTGGGGCGCCAAGGTGAACTCCAAGAATCCTACCCACAGGACATTACACACCTACCGAAATATTTTCAATGCACGGCTGTAATGTATTGTGGGTAAGAGATCCGGCAATAAGCTTAATGGAGTTTCGTCCTTAGCCATCTTATCTCAATCAAGTTTGGCAACCCAATATCCATCCTTTGGTATCTCGTAATGTAAACCCTGTGAATGTGATGAAACCCTGGTTTCTGGTCCAATATGACAGACATTGGGAACGATCCAACACCAGCAAATTCGGTCGAAAAATCACCATGTCCTTGCTCTTCAAACACACTCAAAAAATACTCAACCCCATTTAGGGGGAGGAAATTTCATAGATTGCCAAGTTTGTTCCTTTAAGAGGTCTTCGCACAGAAGCTCTCAGAGCAGAGCAGAGAGGACCTGCTGCAGTTGTTGGCAGAGATAACGGTGCTCTCCCACTGCCACCACCACCTCATCCTCCTTTCAAAGATTTTGAAAACCTCTCAAAAACAACCTTTGTCAATAAAAGAGGATTGTTTTTTCTTTTTTCATATTTGTAAATTGGTTTTTTATTTGGGGTTTTAAAAGATAACTGAAGGAATGCAAATAACATCATTGGTTCTGGTATTATCATTGAGAGATGTTCCCAATACACGATGGGGATGTGTTGTGGGGCGTTGTGGGGCAGAGATGTGAAATCAAGGAGATACGCCTTATTTGACAGTTTATGATCCAACTTCCAAGATGCTATTGATTTTGTTGGGAATCATCTTCATCTTCTCCATATTTCATGCTTAGCAAGTTAGTATAAGTGTTTTCAATTCATCATTGACTCGGTTGGTTGAACCGTTTTGAACCGTCACCTAACCAGGATTCTGGGTCCAGTTCTGTTAAAACCTAATATTCATTCAAAAACTGTTGACTTGGTAAAAAAACTGACCGACTTGGGCGGTTCAACCTATGGATCCGGTCACTAAGTCGCGGGTTGCACAATCAATGCATGCAAACTTTTAGAGACCATAACTTTGCACTCCAATGTCCAATTGGGGTGATCTTTTTTTTTTTTTTAATTTTTTTTTAATTTTTTTTTTAATTTTGGGTAAGTTTTTGAGATCTATGTATCCCAATGAGCCATAGGTTTCTTTCTCCACTATTTTGCGAAAGACACCCGTTTTTTTGGCCTTAAATCGCAGTTTTTTTTATAAACAAAAAAATTAAAAACTCAATTAAAAATATAAATTAAATATAAAATAGTACATATATCATATCTAAAACATAATTATCCATTATTTATTGATAAAATATATATTTGTACACACATAGATGCTGATGTAACATGGTCTGATCCCGTTCGACCCATACGTTGAACCAATGACCCATGACCCGGAGGCAAAAATGGTTTGGCCTCCGGATTGTTTTTTAAAACATTGGTTAGCATATCAACGATTTTGCTACGATCAAAGGGTAAAATGCAGGTTGCAACTCTGTAATTTGGGAATAGTGACACTTATTCTCAGAACCAACCTCAACTTTCAGGTTCCATCACTTTGCACCTGACTTGATTGATGGCCTGGAGGTAAGGTAAAATTACTAAAAGTCCCAATTCCAAGTTTGATGAACCAGGAGAGAAAGTATCAAAATAACGAAAATAGGCATGTTAAAATATGATATCTTGTATTGTATTTTTTGCAATGTTTTTTGTATTTTCTTTTTTTTTGCATTTTCTCTTTTATTATGTTATATTTTCTATATATATTTTTTTATTTTTTATATATTTTCCTATTTTCCTTCGTTTTTCTTGTATTTCCTGTATTTTTCATAATCAATGACCCTGGGGATAGGCTGCCCCCGTTGTCTAGCCCATAGAACGCCCCCACCAAAAAAAAAAAAAAAGAAAAAAAGAAATTAAAAAGAGAGAAAAAATTGAAGTTTTTTAAAATGTTCAAACATGTACATGATAGTTACATGAGAATTTTTATTTTTTGAATTTACATAATGCTAACACTAGGGCAAAGTGATAGAATAAAGTCCAGGGTGCTAAGTGCCACTACCATAAAGGTAGTCTCTAATTTAACCAATAAGAAATTATATGACTTCGTTCTATAATTGATGAGGGGCGATTTGGCCCTCCAGTAACATCACGCCATGTGGTAAGTCTGAACCGTTTTCTGACACCTCGATGTCATAGGTGGCTGAACCTCA